CAAAGATTTATTTTGTTTGCCAAGTATGTGTATATGTGTGTGGGTGCATGTGCTTGCAGATGCTCGCAGAGTCCAGAAGAGGGCATCAGGTCCCTTGGAGCCAGAGCCACAGGTGTTTGTGAGCCACCTGATTTGACTGCTGTTGGCTAAATTCAAGCCTTCTGGAAGAACAGTGGGTGTTCTTAACCATTAAACCATCTTCCCAGCCCATGAGGCAGCCATTTAGATTAGTGTGTGTGTGTGTGTGTGTGTGTGTGTGTGTGTGTGTGTGTGTGTGTGTAGTTCTTGGGAATGCAGGGGTGTGTTGCGCTTGCTCTGGGATCACCAGTCCTCACCTTCCCAGGCTGGAATTATATGCAGCTCTGCTTTCTGGGAACCCAAACTCGAATCCTCATGCTTGCAAGGCAAGCACTTTAATGACTATGTCATACCTCCAATTCCTTGGGGCAGACGATGATTTATAAGTGGTCAATAAGCTGCTTGTTTTTTCCTGAGACAAGGTAAAACTTAGAAGCATCACTTACGGATGCTGCCTGGTGCTGTAGTGAGTGGGACCAGAACTCCAGAGGATCCTTGACATATACAGTGTTTTGCTTCTCTGATCCTTTACTGGCAGTGAAGAAGTAGGTGGTCCCTCCTCTCTTTCATGGAAGGTGGATTTTTCAAACATACTTTTATTTTTCCCAGGCTGAGAAGTATGGACCAGCCAGCTATAGTGCCTACTAGATCATGAGCAAGGATGTGAGTGCCCAGCCTGTTGGACACATTTTAAGATCTCATGAGGTCTGCACACAGAGACCAGTGTCCTTGAGCTGAAGCTCAAAGACCTTATGGATGTTAGAGCTCACCATGGGTGAGTCAGGATGGAAACCATGCTGTGTCTATAGTACATATTTAGAGGATGGTGCATATTTAGGGGATGTTGGTACCCAGTGCTCTTTAATCCTCCTTTTTCCCACTTCTCCTTTCCCATCTTCCTCCCCTTCCTCAATTCTCACCTCCCTCTTCTTTCTTTTTTCTCTTCCCTTCCTAATTCCTCCTTCTTTTTCATCCTCTTCCTTCCTTTCCTCTTTTCTTCCTTTTCCTTTCTCTTCTCCTTCCTTTTTTCCTACCTAATCATGTGTCCTTTCCTATTTCTTACTCCTCTTCCTTCCCCCTCATCTTCAGCTTCCCATTCTTTCACCTTCTTCTTCTTCTTCTTCTTCTTCTTCTTCTTCTTCTTCTTCTTCTTCTTCTTCTTCTTCGTCTTCGTCTTCTTCGTCTTCGTCTTCTTCTTCTTCTTCTTCTTCTTCTTCTTCTTCTTCTTCTTCTTCTCCTTCTCCTTCTCCTTCTCCTTCTCCTTCTCCTTCTCCTTCGTCTTCGTCTTCTTCTTCTTCGTCTTCTTCTTCTTCGTCTTCTTCTTCTTCGTCTTCTTCTTCGTCTTCTTCTTCTTCGTCTTCGTCTTCTTCTTCCTTTTCTTCCTATCTTGATAGATCCTATTTAAACCCAGAAACAAATATATCAGGAATGCATCAGAAGGCACCTGTTCTGAGTCTTGTAGCAATGGGGAATTTTCTGTTTAGAAGTAGCTGCTAATCAGACTGGCTCGTGTGGAGTCATTATTTCTATGCACATTCTTAACATACCAGCAAGGATGAAATTCCAGCTCCCTTTATCTTGTCAAATGGTGAGAGAAAAATTGATTTCCACTCATGAGTTTATTGACTGCCCCACCTCATTTGGTGGATTAATCTTCCCTTTCCCACCAGCTTGCCACACCTCCCTGATCCTCCCAGAATTTCATCTATGAGAAAATGTGTTCCTAGACAATCTGTACTGAGTTATTGACATCTTGATGATGACAACCACTTGGCCTTTGGGCATGGGTTTTGAATGAGTGCTCTATGGATGCACAGACACTCTGAGAGTAGATTAATCTCTGGGACTGAATATTGGCACACTACTATGTGGGTGTTCACTGACTGGAGCTAAGGTAAGGATGTGGAAAGCTATTGGTAGTGTCACCAGCTTAAACAGTTCTAATGGTGATGACTTGCTGAGGGTCATTCAATGCCATGAGGGTTCATTTTGGCCTGTGAAGTTGACCTGACAGTACCCTTTGGTTAGCATCAGCTGTAGCATGAAAAACCCAAGTGGTGATTAGATGAACAAAAGTAAAACAATCAAGAGACATCACTTACTCATTCTACAAGCACATACTGAATACCTGTTCTAGCAATATACATAGATTTCTCAAGCCTTGTTGGATGACTTTTCCTGATGGATGTGAAATAATGTCTATTCATCCCAAATAGAACACAGATGACAAACCAATGATCCCACTATAGTCTGTGTTTGTGAACCAGTGAGTTTATTGGGATTACTTACAGGAGCATGGGTGACTCAAAGGCAGTTGTGTCACCAAAAAGTCTGCCCAACATGGGTGATGACTCATAAAAACTTCATCCCTGAAACTCCCTGCACTTGGTTAACACTTGGAAACATGTCCTGCCCTGGCTTAGTGGCTGCTTATATAACATCAAGAGGGGCTTTTTGAGTCCTGTAAGTTCTAGGGGCTTTCTGTGCCTTGTAAATTTTGTTGACTTCCTCTGGTCTTTTTTGTTGGGGGGTTGTTTTGGTTTGGTTTTGGTTTGCGTTTTTCGAGACAGGGTTTCTCTGTATTGCTTTGGAACCTGTAGAACTTTCTCTGTAGACCAGGCTGGCTTTGAACTCACAGAGATCCACCTGCCTCTGCCTCCCGAGTGCTGGGATTTGGTCTCTCGCTCTACATAGTTCAGTTCAAGTATCAGTCATGCAAGCCATGACTGGAGCACAATAAAACAACAACTGAGCACTGTATCTTCTCTCCTGAGAACAAGGTGGTGTGTTCAGGTGCCAGGGGACCATGGGTAAAGACATCCCCAGAGGATAGCAGCAGGTACATATAACTGTGAAAGAGATAATATTGCTTTTTATTCAATGGTGAGTATGGCAAGGGTACAAGAGGTAGGCAGGCTTGGAGATTATGCTGATGTGTTTTTCTTGGTTTTAGGTCAAAATATCACTCAAGTTTGTATTGAATTTGCATTGGAGGAAGTAATCTCAAAATCTATGAAAGATGGTATGGATGCAGCAGTGTAATGCAGTAATCCCACTTAGGAGTGTTGATTCTTGGAAGCATTATCCCACTAAGCTGGCTAGAAAGGGAATTACCTGTTGGAGAAATGAGAACGAGAACCTCAACAAGTATTTAAGGAGTTAGACACTTTAGACAAAATGATTGTTTATGCTTGAGTACAAAGATGGAATTGTGACTTCTGACACATACAGCTTAACTATTTGAGGTACAGAGGAGGAATAGATGGGAGGCATGGTCATCATAAGTGGGAGGTGCTGGGTGGGCATTTACGATAGAATATAGTCATGAATTGCTTAATGATGGGGAAAGGCACTGAGAAATGTCTCATCAAGAAATCCATCATTCTCTGAATATCAGAGCATACTTATACAAGTGTGTGTGTGTCTATGTATATATGTATGTTCATGCATGCATGTATGAACAAAGCAACACAAGACTAAGTTAGGGACAAGAGAAAATGATATAATCAAGACATGTGGTAGGGTTGGGAATGTAGCTCAGTCAATAGAGTTCTATGTAGTATGCATGCACAAAGTCACGGGTCCATCCATAGCACTGAATAAACAGAGCATGATGGCACACACATGTGGTCCTAACATTTGGGGAATGGGATGATCAAAAGTTAATATCTTTCTCCGTTCCATTGCAAGTCTGAGCCAGTCCTGAGCTACACAAGACAGCTAACAACATAAAAATCTTACAAATTGTTTTTCAAAAAAAAAAGGAGTAGAAATGTACACTATTAGATGTACTAATTATTGCCACTTTCTTGTGATACTTTAATGTTTTAAAACAAAGTGGGCCTTGGTAGTGAAGACTTGTCATTCATAGGGTCGAGGCAGGAGAATTGCAACTTAAAGACCATGTCTCTAAACAAAAAGTAAAAAGAGAGCTAGGAATGCTTCTCAGTGATAAAGCACTTGCATAGAATTCCCAAGTGAGAGGCTGGAGTTGGAGTGTGGCTCAGCTGTAGAGTAGTTATTTGGAATCCTCCAGTGAGGGCCTAGGGATGTGGCTCAGAGGTAGGATGTCTACCTGGAATATGCCAGGGGACTTGATTTAGTGTAGAATACTCTCTTAAGGTTTCTATTTTTTTGACCAAACACCATGACCAAAAGCAGCTTGGGAAAGAAAGGTTGTATTTCTGCTTACATGTTTGGATCATGGTCCATCATGAAGGGAAGTCAGGGCAGGAAACTGAACCTGGAGATAGGCGCTAAAGCAGAGGCCATGGAGGGATGCTGCTTACTGGCTTGCTCCTCAGGCTTGCTCAGTTTGCTTGCTTGTACCATCCAGGACCACCTTCCTAGGAGCAGCACCACGTGCAATGGAGGTAGGCTCTCCTGCATCAACCATTAATCAAGAAAATGCCTCACTGGCTTGGTTATGGACCTATCTTCTGTGGACATTTTCTCAATTGTTTCTTCTTCCCAAAGAAGCTTGATTCAAGTGAAAGACAATAACATAACCTATGTAGGACAAGTACCTACCTAAATCTTTCTGTGGGGAGTTGGGGTTATGGCTCAGTGGTAGAATGCATTTCTATAGTCACCCAGTAAGGGAGTAGGATTGTGGCTTAGTAGCTCACTACCTAGACTCTGCCAGTGCAGAGTTGGAGATGTAGCTCAGTGGGACAGCACCTGCCTAGAATCCCCCAGTGAGGGCCTAGGGGTATGACTCAGTGGTGGTTGCTTGTGCACCTGGGTTCATTCCCCAGTATTAAGAGAAAAAAAAAACAGTGTTAAACAATTCTCAGTAACATCACCAGCTCTCTTTATTTTATTTAGGTCATGCCAAGGAGAAAAAACAGTTATTTCTTGCATCAGGGGCAGTCGATCATATTTATGGTACTTTTCCACTCATGTTTCTTTTTTCCTTCCAGGAGATGGACAGGTGGATTTTGATGAATTCATGACAATTCTTGGGCCCAAGCTAGTGTCATCAGAAGGTCGTGATGGTTTCCTTGGAAATACGATAGACAGCATCTTCTGGCAGGTGAGTGAGGTGTTCATATAATGGCGAGCCTGGCAGTAATGTGTTTTCTGGAATGCACGAACTTTGGCTGGATGGTCTTGAGTGTCTCTTCAGACTGAAGCGAACTCTCTTGGGCTGGGATGATATGTGCCCTTTGAATCAGATGTCTTTGTTGAAGTCTACACTGTGCTCAGTTAGACTTTGGAGAAGTGAGCTGTCTCCTCACATCTTTTCCTTGGAGCAGAGAGAGTTTGCATTTGTGGGAGTGAAATTCTTCCATATCTAACTCATGAGGGGCTTCGTTCTGTGGACCTTGTAAAGGAGACATTGGTATTATCTATGAAAATTCCTACTTGGAGCTAACTCCCCCTCTAAAGTTCTCCATTTAGGGATTCAAGAGAGACACTGATGCAGGTTATCCTTTTAGGTACGAAGTTCATTGGGAGAGTGCTTAATGCCCTAGGTGAACAGGCATGAGAGGAGTTCTGAAGAGAATTCAGTTCCATGGGACAGAGTGGAGGTGGTGGTCCCATGCCATGTAGTTGCTGAGGGCTCTGCTGTAGTATGCTCTCAGTCAGACTGTGTCCTTCCTCAATGGCAAGAGTTGATCCCCTAGTTACTGTGTGTCCATCATATGGGATGGACACACTGTGGTGTCTGATTGCTTAGGGTGTTGAGTAAACTTCCTCTGGGAAAGTGAGGATTGATTAAACATTCACAGGCAGTCACAGCATGGTGGCTTTCATTACATTTCTTCTATTGCAGCTTTGAGGGGAGAGAGGAGAGAGAGAGAGAGAGAGAGAGAGAGAGAGAGAGAGAGAGAGAGAGAGAGAGAGAGAGACAGCACATACCTTCAAGTGAGCTTGGCCTGAGTAGCTGAGTAGCTGCTAGGAATCCCAAGAGATTCTCTACTGACAGGGTACCTGGTCACTTGTGTTGGATCTTGTCACTACTGATGCACTTCATATAATGCAATGGTGTTATCTAAGGGCCTCCTTCCAATGCCGCCAATTTCTGTCTTGTGAATTCTTGTTGGAGATTACTGATGCCTATATTCTAATTATTAGAGTGCCACTAAATCACTTTTACATCACTTCTCTATTTTAAGATGTGATCATTATTTCATGGTTATGGAATTGGGGAAATGGGTTATTAATCTTTGCTTTTAAAACACGAGCCAGATAAGTTGTCAAGTCAATTGAATTGAATTTCTTTTTAGATGGCTGAAACATTATTGAAGCTGGGTAGGGTGGTACATACCTGGGGTCTTAGTACTTAGGAGACTGAAGCAAGAGGATTGCTATGAATTTGAAGCCAGTCTGGGGTACAGAGTTTGCAGAGTGTGACCCAGTCTCCCAAAACCAACAACCAAACTAAAACCATAGCAAACAAAAATAAAATAAAAACCAGGAAAAAGTAAATTAAAAAAAATTACAACACACCATCAAAACACAGTATTTCTTTGATTTCTTAAGAGAGGTCCCTTTTCCCCCCAGTAAATACATTTTCCTAAGATTGATCAGCAATTTGTTTTTCTCACCTCTCATCTTACTCTGGTACTCCTCATCTAACACATAGCCAATAAGTATATAATTACCTCTTATTTGACCATGCCAAAAATAGGTGACAGAAACAAGTTGGAGGAAGACAGATGGTTTTGGTTCACTATCTCAGGGGATTCAGATGGTCCTTTGGCTCTGTGTGTTTGGACAGGACATCATGGCAGTGGAAGCATATGGCACAGGCAAGATGTCCACCCACTTTATAGAGACAGGAAGCAGAGAGCAAAACAGGAAGGGGCCAGGTATCATATCCCCTAAGGACCTTACTCTAGTGACTTATCTTCTCAAGACACCATAATATCCCAAAATGGAGCCATCAAAGAATTCAAACCATGGTCCATTTCAGATTCCAACTGTAATGTCATTTTTCAGCCCATCCAGATTAACTCTGAAGAGATACTTTCTTTCCACCCGTTCACTTTTCCTTCAGCTCCCATTATTTCTTTCTATCCCATGGTCAACTCTCCTGGTCCACTCTAACCTAGGGAAATGGCACAGGGCATCCAGAGCTCTATGCTTTCTTATTGGCCCTGTGGAAGAAACTGTGGGTATCAGATCCATTTCTTACATGAAGGCCCAAATTCTTCGGAATCTTCACAATATGGCATCTCCAGGATCAGGCAACATTTTCTAAACTGATTCTCTTTAGCATAGCTCCGCCATGCTATTATGATCACAAAGTCTCTATGGGTTTGTTATACTGTAGGTCTCCCTCCTCTGGGGTGATAAAATGGGGTTCAGTGAAGTGAGCCAAGGCAGGGATTACATCTGAGATTATTTGTTTATTTTGTATGACTGCATGTGTGAACATATGTGTCCTTCTTCGGGAGCCATCTATCTTTGTTTTGTGAAGCAGGGTCTTTCACTGACCTGGAATTCACTGATTCAACTAGCGTCACTGGTTTCCCAGCTCTTGAGACCTTCTATTTCAGCCTCCCTCAGTGGCTCAGATTGTAAATTCAGGACACCATACACGGCTTTTTCTGTCTTGCTTTGTTTGTTTTGTTTTGTGTGTGTGGTCTAGGGCCCAAACTCGGGTCCTCCTGAGTAAGTCAAGCACTTTACCAACTGAGCCACCACCCCATCCCCACTCTGTACTGTTGAAATGAGTTCTGGCATGCAGAGGCTTATGGCTGGGTCTTCCCTCTCCCTCAGTCACTCTCCCAACTAGCAAACAACCAGAGGAATGTCCATCAGTTCCCAGCCACCATGCTCCGTGCTTCGCTGCCTGATCATTGAGAAGCAGCATGAAAACAGTGTGCGAAACAGCACAGCAGCCATCCCTGCATGGAGAGATGCTCACAGCTTGGGTGGCTGCCGGGGGCGGGTGTTAAGAGAAGGCTGTGTGCATGTGTGTACACGCACAAGGGACACATTTGCATGAATGTGTCTATTTAGTTTGTGGCAGTGGTTGATATGTAAGAAAGAGGACCAGAAAGGCAGGTTTCTGCCTCTGGTATTCCAGGAGGAGACATTAGCAGCAGGAGGGGATAGTTCTATAGAAAGGACACCATGCTAAGAGACTGCCCACACCTTCTATCAGAACTGGTACCCAGTTCTCACAGGAGCAGAGGTATTTGGACTCAGCTGTGGCTCCACACATGGCATCATAATCGAGGAGCAGAAGACAACAATGACTACTTGGCAAGTCACACGGTTTCTGTGGGTCATGAATTTGAGAGTAGCCCATCTGGGTGCTTTGGCTCTGGATCTCTCAGGGGGTTGCTGTCAGAATGCCTGCTGTGATCATTAGAAAGCTTGGCTGAGGCTCAGGGATGTACTTTCGGCTGCCTCATTGCCCTGGCTGGCAACCTGTCTTTAGGTCTCTACCATAAGTGTTCTCTATAGTGTCGTTTGAGCATCCTGACATGACATTGGCCTCTCTTAAAGTTGCAAGGAAGTGCAGAAGGCATGGGTACTTTCAGACGTGTGTGTGTGTGTGTGTGTGTGTGTGTGTGTGTGTGTGTGTGTGCGTGCGTGCATGTGTGTGTGTATTCTTGTATAAGTGCATGTGCATATGTATGCACATATATGTAGAGGTCAGTGGACAACCTCCAGCACTGTCTGCTGTTTTGGAGCAGAGTCTCTCACTGGCTTAGAACTCACCAAGTAGGCTAAGCTGACTGGCCGGTGAGCTCCAGGGATCCACCAGTCTCCACCTGTGCACCATGATTACAAATATACTCTGCTGCCATGACTGGTCCCACATTGCCCTTTTTAATGTTGGAGAAGACATCCTACCAGTGACTTAGCAGGGGCTATCTGGGGCTATGGCAGAGACTGGATCTCAGTAAGGGTGGAGATCCTTTCATCAGGCTTCCAGTGTGTTCATGTATGTGTATTTGTGTGTGTACGTAGGTGTGCATACATATATGTGTGGAGACTGGAAGTCAGCTTCAAGCATTGTTCCCCAGGATCTGACCTCTTTACTTCATGACTGAGTCTCTCATTGGGGCTTATCAATTAGGCTAGGCCAACTGGCTAGAAAGTCTCAAGGATTCACCTGTACCTGCATCCCCAACACCTGGGACACAAGCACATACCTGTTCAGCTTTTAACATGTAATATGACTGCTAGGAATTGAACTTGGACCCTCATGCTTGCTAAGCAAGCACTTAGTGATTGAGCTATCACCCCAGCCCAAGCTTCCACTCCTGATTGTATTGCTGCCGCCATGAGCCTTGCTTTTTCTTAAGCTTCAAATTCCTCCTACCTTAGAGAGAACCCAATGGTGGGTTCTCTACATCGTGGACGAAATCTGACTAAGCACTGAGCTCATCTTCCTAATTAAATATGTTTTTGATGCTCTTGCCTTCCTGGAGTTCGAACCTACATTGTCAAGGGTAAAATAAAATCAAATGTGATTCTGGGAAAACAAAACAAAACAAAACCACAAGTATTTATTACTTGGTACCAGTTCTAAAATTATAACCTACTGCATTTGTACAGGGATTGGTATTGATGATGGTGGACTATAACTAGGTATAGCCACATCTTCCTTCCTAAATGATATAGCCTACACATCGTGTTCTAGATGGTCTGGTCCAAACGACATTTTCTGTGCCTGTGTGTGAGGCTCAGAGTCTCTGGCATCCAGCTCAGGACTCTTTTACATAGTAAGTAATAACTTGTAAAACTGGCTTATGTGTGTGTTTGTGTGCACGTAGAAGCCCAAAGACAACCTCAGGTATGGTCCTAGGCCAACACCCACCCCTCCAAAATACACATACCTTTTGAGACAGGGTCACTCACAAGCTTGTAAGTCACCATAGGCTGGCTGGCCAGTGTGTCCCAGAGACTTCCTCATCTCTGCTTCTTCGGTGCTGGGATTTTGCAAGTACCTGCTACCACACCTGGGGTTTTGCAAGGATCCTGGGAGTGGAATTCCAGTCCTCATGTTTGCACAGCAAGTACTGTAGCAACTGAAATATCTCCTCTGCCAGTACTTTCATTTTCTTT